ACAAAGTACTAAATATCGTACTTTTGACCGTTACGTCTTTTTCATCTAACATTGTTCATGCTTCCTCTATATTCAAGGAGGCGCAACTACATAATTTATTAAAATTATTTTTTTCTTGACAACTTTTTTAACAAAATAAAATGAATTAAACTAAAAAAATGTGATTTATATAATATTTGAACTATAAAACATATCAAATGGCACTCCATAACTTAAATTATAGTTTTTTTAGTAATTCTACATGAAAAAAACGTAGGTAATTTAATTGAATTTTGGGAAAGTCTTACAGTTTTTACAATTAATCGTCCTCAATTGATTCTTGATTGTTGTTAACTGGAATACTTGACCAGAATTTCAGTTCATTCTCTGGGATTATTGAACCAAGTCTTTTTTTTTACTTCCTTCAATAAAGGGGAAGTATTGTAATCTTGAAAAGTCACCCTCCGAAATTATTTCAAATTTTCACGTTTTAGGGTCCCTAGATTACGAAAAACATGTTTCCCCATTCTGTCGGTCTGTCTGTTGGCGTGATAGCCCAAAAACGGCTTTAGAGAAAAACTTCAAATTTTGTATACAAAATCAGTTATACTTCCGGCCATTTATATACATGGTGAGCATTTTTAAAAAAATAATTTATTTAAAAGTCGGCGATTTCGACTAAAATTGGCAGTATTTTAGAAGTCGGAGATAACAAATCCCAAAAAATTTAAAATGGTGTTGAAAGGAATCGTATTTAATCAAAAAAGCCCCCCTTGAATATAAATAATAGAAAGTGTCCTTTTCGTTTGTGTAACTGGACAACTTTAAAAGCAGACAATGATTATCGTTCAATAATGGTGAAAAAGGGTTTTCCCGATTTTCCTCTTGATCCGACCCAAACTCTCACTTCGCGTCCGCTCGTTGTTTTTCGTCACGTTCGTAAAATGCAAGTGCTTCGGGGTTCCCTGTCTTTACAATTTCTATATCAAAGGAAGTTCTGAGCAGTAGCTGGAAATAGACTAAAACAAGTTAGGTGAAAAAGCCGCATCTATGAAAATCTTTGCAGTTACGGCTTTTTTCACTCACATTTGTAGTTACTGCTTTTCGATTTAATAAGTGTCAAGAAAAATCACTTACGCCCAAATTTCTAAGCTTCAAATCTCGGGTTTTATAGAAAATTCGTTTATAAAAGTTATAGAGATGGATAAAAATATATTTTTTCCATGCGTAGTGGTCATACCTTTATTTCAAGGAAAACTGTAGTTACTGCCATTTTACTTAACACGGCAGAAATATATTTTTTTTATTATCAAGTCAAATTTATTTTTTACATTTTTTTTTCCAAACTCATTTAAATATACATAAATAAGATTTTCCATATCTCAAAAACTAAAAATATTTATTTAGATTATCATTTAAAAATAAAGAAATACTTGTTTCATAATTTCCTAGTTAAGAGGGTGGATCTATTTTCTTTTACAAAGAAACTATAAATATACAGGTTATTGTTTACAATTAGCTATAATAATGCTTTGGAATTTTTAATCATATTTACCATAAAACAATCCATAAATTAATGCCTTTATTTTTTTAATAAACCTTTTATTATTCGCGCTCATAAGCAGCTAATGGAATAATTACAAATGGTTACAATGTTGACATATTAATATCTGTTAAAAATAATATATAAACCTAATTTTTGAGTTTTTATGGTTTTCACCTCGGCAATAAAATGTGACATATTTGAATAAAACTTGTTAACATCAACTTGTGGAAAATTAGATTTGAAAACCAAAAAAGATTCAACATGCCAGTAAAAAGGAAATATAACCGAACTTAGGTCATAGTTTTAGTTTCAAATTGACAATAAGCCCCTTGGTTTGTTGTGAAAGATAATATTCAAATGAGGTACCACTTAAATGCAATAAAATAGTTTACGATTGTAAACAATTTAATTGCATGTAAACATACTAATCGTATCTAATTACCGGCCCATTCAATTCATGTTTATATTTAATAGGGCACTAACGATTATATAACTTTATTTATTGTAGGTATATATTTTAATTTACAAAAATGTAAAAATATATAATCAGTAAATTTTAATCGATGCTTCCCTTTTTATTTAGTCACATCACTTTATACATTGTTCATAAAATAAAGGACACCTAATTATTTAGGTGTAGGTAAAAAATTACTCATAATCAGTCCCACATAAATAAATTTTATTGAAGTTAAATGACAGCCGGTTTCGGCTTACGGCCATCATCAGGTCTACAATTAGAGAAGAGAACAGATGTTAAAAGGGTTTACATAAATAAAAATTATGTTAGTACATACCTATGTTACACGTGATAAGCGCATGCAGTACGTACATAAAGCCTGTCAATAATCTTCAAAAGAAGATATTGAAAATAATTTATGGCAAAAAGAATACATTTTTGACAGAACTACTTCTCCATCAGATTTTTCTAACCATTTATGTATATGTGAGGAGTAATTTTTAATTGTTTTTAAATTAATTTATTATTATTTAGGATTTTATTACTATTTAATGTATGTAATATGTATTATCTGTAATTGTATTGTTTTAATGGGCTCTGATTCGTAAATAAATAAATACAATAAATACTATTTCAAGAGGCAAGAGTTAAACTTACGAAAACTGCATGTTTACGATTCCGTGGTTTTTCTCTATAAAAATAAACATTTACTAAAAGGACTTGAACACACGTACTTAACAAAAAACAAGAAAAAAGGGTGTATATAAATACCCTTACTTAAAAAAATCACATCTACACATCTAAAGATTTATAACTTTCTACCTAAGCTTTTCCCTGATTTATCACTCGATCTACGTTGCCATTTAATTAAAAAACCGCTTTATGTCGACATCACATAAGTTTGACGTGAGTACAGAATACATTCCTATTCATTACCCTACAATTTTATAATTATACATTTATTCGTTTCAGACTTTTTCGCTACCCTATATTTAAAATTTTATATTTCATGTGTCTCACTAAGTTGGAGCCATGTGGAAAACTTTTTTATTATTGGTTTTGTGAAAAAAATTTATTCTTGATAAAAAGTTATGCATGGTCCAAAACTTAAAATGCTACCATCAGATATTAATTTTTTTAAGCCGTTTACGAGGTTTGTCAAAAAATATGTTTTTTGCTGAAAGTAAGGTACCATTATTTTTAACAAACCTTGTATACGACTGATAAAATTTGATATCTGATTGTTGTATTTTAGGTTTTAAACCATGCTCGACTTTTTATGAAGAATAACTTTTTTAATATTAATATTAGGAAAAAATTAGGAAATATTGTATATTGTAATTAAAACTAAAATTAAGATTATTTAAATTGTTTCTTATTGTTATTTTAATTAATTTAAATTTAGTTAATTAGGTATACTTCATACTATATTTTTCTAATTCTGATATGTAAAGTTACATTTTTTTGTAGTCGCAGCAAGTGTCAAATTAATCTACTTTACGCAACCAGTTACATAATGTTGAATTGTTGAACATTATGAAACTTGTTTCGAAAAATTCATTGGTATCAGTTGCGAAAAGAAAACAAAAATAAACCGTTTTTTGTTTTAAAATCATTAATTTACATTATTATTGAAAGTTTAAATCAAACTCGTTCATGTTGCGGGACCTCACTCTGCTCGTCCCGCAAATATTCACTCGTTACATAAAATAAGGCATTTCGTAACTGGTTTTATAAATAGCTATATTTGTGTAAATTTTATATTTATTGATCAATGTGTGTACTTTTTTTTGGAAATAAACAATATGATTAAAAATTAAAATGTAAATGGTCGGTACAGAGCACTAACTTAGGCATGATAGTTACAAGAAACAATCAAAAACAAGTTGGGAAAATGACAATAAATTGAAGAAGATATTTGCAAAAAAGATTACAATAATTAGCAAAATTGTTGTTCAAAAATTATTATAAAACAGCACTTTTTATAATACAGACGTGTTGCTTGGAAAAGGTTGTGACCAAAAGCTCTTGTTCAAAAAGATCGAGTAGTTGACAAGCGAACAGTCCTATAGGGAACCTAAAAAAGTACATCCATTTATAGGATAGATAAAGTATTGTACCCTGAGTTCCAACCAAGGCAATTGATTAAATGTAGAATATAGAGACCATGAGAGACTATTCCAAGATCGAAGGAAATAGGCCACCCGAAAAGCAAAGGAGAAAAGTTAAAACCTTGATATTATCAGGATTAACTTTTTTTGACAGTTGGATACCCTCCTTCAGTTACCGAATTATTTTTCTATTTAACTTTTCCTTATTTGTACACGACTTGGACGGTTATTCTAATACGCATTTGCATAATGGAAAGCCATTTATAACTTCTGCAAGAACGAACCTCTACCCATATTTTATTGAATATTTTAAAATACCGACACTGAATAAACTATTGGCGCCTATTTCTTTTTTGAAACTTTGTCTTTAGACGCTTACCGTAAGAAGTAAAAAGCAACTAAAAGTACTTGACAGAAAAATGTACCAAACGCGGTCCAATTTTACCAATAGGCTCTTCAAATGGTAGCACAATAAGCTGCAGGCTGCAGTGCCATCATGCTACAAACGGATTATGGTGTTAGCACGGGGGTCCAAAGGTTGTAAAAATTGAAATAAAAAAAAAGCTCGCAATACTGGTCACGAGACATAAATAACAAAATTGCCCATGACAGAATTTTTCTTCGTTTATTGTGGATTCTTGTTATTATTCTGTAATTTTTTTTATTTGAAGGTGCATCAAATCTTTTACTTTTCTATCTTTTGTTTTTGACCGCGTTCTACAACCATTAGTACCTTTTTTTAGTACCTTTTTTTGTGTATTTATACTATTAATTGAAGCACTTTTTGGATTTAGGTTTAAAAATAACTAGTATTAATGACATATTTTTGGCTTGATACCAAAAACCTTTAGCTTTAACACATGATTATGTAGAAAGATTATTTTTGAATTCATTTTTTTTTTTTCAGATTGTCAGTGCGCTTCCGGCTCATCTACAGGTAAAACATGGAAGCTCAGATGAAGCATTCGTCAGTAAAGATTCTAGTCTTGAGGAAGTTCGTGCTGATCCAGTAGACAGGAAAATTTTAGATTCTGACGAGTAAGTATTAGACCAAAGTTAAGAGGATTTTTGTTTTTGTTTAAAAACAAGCCACAAAATCAATTTATTGATGAAAAACGTTTTCAAAGGTTCAAATAAACTTCTAAAACTACTAAAACTTTGTTATTCGTTGGAGAATTACAATAAGCTCTACAATTATAAAACTGATTATGACAAATTACTTTCAATTAAATATGTTTTCTTTTTTGCAGAAGCAGCGGTATACCAGAGGACGACATTGATACGACTTCTCACACTAAAATAAGCCTAAGGTCGACTGTGTCATTACCAAGTGTGTCAACCCAACAACCTGCTTATTACCATCATCATCATAATTACATCAATAACTCGGGAAATTACAGGTAATTCATGAAACAAACTAAATTAAAATAATTAATATTCATTTAATTGCCATCCATGTTCATCAAGTGCAATTTTCACACCACAATTATCGTAAATTATTAATATTATTTTGTAGATTCGATGACATTAAGCCGGAAAAAATCAGTTTGGAATTAATAAAGAAGAGAATACCGAAGTCGCATCAAACGATAGACTACTCAGATTTGGAATACACTCCTCAACGTAAGGGTAGCGGGGATTCACTAGGCTCGCAGAGGAGTTTAGAATCGCAACAGAGCTCCGATTCACATTCCAGCGTGACTGTAAGTATTTTTTTAACTATCAAGAACCTATTTAGATTCGAAAAATGTGCTACCAAGCATTAATAGCTCTCATGTCATGCTCTGATATTATTGATCCCTAATAGTGTCCTGTTTGACCAATATAAACACTATAGGGTGATTCATTTCCGCAAAGTTTTTTTTTCTGTGCTCAAGCAAAATATTAATCTACATATAGAAAAAAAAAATTCTCACCAAGTTTGAGCTATTAATATCAATTTTAAGTACTTACTATTTAAATTTAAAATTTTACCATTTAAAATGCATGTAATTTTTTTTTTTTATTTTTTAAATTTCTAATGCTTACCCACCTTTTATAATAATGAAAATCGGTTTGATGGACCTTGTCGGGAATTTCATGCTCTTCGAAATTGCTTCAGTTTTTGTGTAACTCGCACTGGTTCACCAGTAGGAGACGTCAAAGTACAGTTTTTTAAAAAAAAATTTTTTCAATTTTTTTGAGCAAACCGCCAAAAGTAGGTGACTCATAAAAAAGTTATCCGACCAATATTTAATGAATTTACAGCCATTTTTATACCTAAAAACGTAAGAAATTGATAAATACTAGCTCATAATGTTATTTAGATTAATTTTTTCTATTGATTTCCATTATATTTCCCTACACTAAGAATTATTTTTTAGAATTATTATGATTTCTCACTCATAATGAATATAATTTCGAAGAGCGTGAAATTTCCCACAAAGTCCATCAAACCGATTTGCAATATTAAAAAAGGTGGGTCAGCATTAATTAGAAATTTGAAAAAAAATATTTTTTTTGACATGCATTTTAAATGGTAAAACTTTAAATTTAAATAGTAAGTACTTAAAATTGATATTAGGAGCTCAAACTTGGTGAGCATTTCTTTTTCTATATGTAGATTAATATTTTGCTTGAGCACCGAAAAAAAAAACAAAATTTTTCGGAAATGAATCACCCTAATAAACACCTTCACATTTATTAGAAATTAGAAGATATTCAATAGAATATACAATGATTCTAAAACATAATTTTCTAAAGGTTCGAGAGCTTCACAAACAAGAACAACCCTCTTTGGACAAGCAATGGTCCTCGACTAGCACTACGAGTGAAACGTTCTCCGAAAGTGGCGCCACCCAATCGGCGCCGCCTATAATCGCTAGGGATCGATCTACCTGGGATAGAGAACCCGTGCCGCGAGATTATTTCATAAAGCAACCTTTATCTAGGACCGAAGCTGTCAATAATTGGGTTCCACCGGTTATTAGAAAGGATACGAGGTAAGTAAGTCAAATAATCCCATTACAACAAAAAAAAAAAAAAAAAAAAAAAAAGTAAGTCAAATATGCAAAATTAAAGGGAAGAAACCATATTATGTTCCGCTATCACTTGTCTAGTATGTTGTTATAATAAACAAAATACTAGAAAAGTATTTTTACAAGAAAAAAAAAGTTGACACAGTCAAATATAACGTCAAACGCCAAACCATCTTAACAATGAATATTTGTAAACCCCAGTAACACAAGGTAGTATGGCCCCACCTACAAAATACAAGCCATGTTGCCAAATCTAGTGGAAAATTCTTGGTATCCAATTTAATAAGAGGTTTTGACATTTATTGAAAAAATGTCATCTAATTTAGTTAAATTTGATATTACTTGTTTAAAATACATTTAAACATAACTAATAAATCTTAAAATAATTTAAATGCCAGACCTGTATGTTAACCCACACGTGTGCATTGGTGACATGAGCATTATGCATTTTAATTCTAACTCGACGCCTGAAGACAAAAAATTTCGAGGTGAACCACTTATTTGCTTAACAAACTTAATAAAAAAATATTTTTACAAAATGAACTAACCCGTGATGGGAGGCCTCGGCTGTCGACTCTATCTTTCTTTCTCGAACAAGCAAAAAAGTTTCAAATCGTTCTGAGCTTTGGTAGAAATCGGAAGCTCTCAAGTACAAAACAATGACCGTTTTGTACTATTTTTTTATAATTAGTTATTCTCTGAGCAAAGATACTAAAGTATCGCAGTATTAGCATAAGAAAACATCGTCAGGCAAATGTTAAGCCTGTAGGTATATTTTTAAACCTTGTAAATAAGTTAAAGTGTGAAAAGTTGTCGTGCATTGTCTGTGTGGAAATATATAACAACCAGCACCGATTAAATTAGTCCACTAGGTAGGCGAGCCCTCAGGACTTTACTCACAATTTGTGTTGGGTTTAACTTTTTTGTAACTACAAACCCGCACATTAATAATGATTCAAATTTTGAGTTCAATTGCCATAAAACAGGTTGAATTATTTCACTTTTTTTGAGATATATAAATCATTTTGTAAACAAAACGAGAATAATGAAATAGGCGTGACAACAGCGGATATTATACCTCCTGTGTCTCTTAGAATATGTCTTATTTACATCACTATATTTGTTTGTAGTTATAGTCCATTTAAAATAACGGTAAAAGGTCGAGGAACGCCGCACTTGACGAGACCACTTATCCCCTACGTATTTTGGGGCACTGATTACGAAAATGAGGGTTAAAACTGGCAGCAATGGTTGGAACACCCCTAAAATTGCAAAAAACACCCCTAAATAAATGTTGTTTTGCAAACTAAGTCATCTTATATGTTTTTTGGGGCGCTGATTACGAAAATCGGAGTTAAAACTTACAGCAATGGTTGAACCACACCTAAAATTTCAAAAAACACCCCTACATAGGGGTGTTTTTCAACTGTACTTGTTGTTTTGCAAACTAACTCATCTCATATGTCTTTTGGGGCGCTGATTACAAAAATCGAGGTTAAAACTTGCAGCAATGGTTGAACCACCCCTAAAATTGCAAAAACCTCTGTTTTAAATTTGAATTAAAAATTTTATCAGGTTAGTAAACTTTAACAAACGTTCTTACAACCGGCTGTTAGACTCTTAATTTAATTGATCAAATGAACGATCAAATTTTTATTATATACCTTATACCTAGGAATTTAAATATGGTTAGCCTTTGATCTGATGTTTTAGCACAACCACGTACAATGCACTGTAGTTTTTTCTTGGCATTAAAAATCCTAAAACTAATTACTACAAATACAACTTCTTAACTAATTACTAAAGTACTCATTCATGAACATGAACACCTATTAATAATATATCAAAAGCCACTTTACATAAAGTGTCTGTCCTGGCCTGGTTAATTGTTACACTATTCCTGAGATTTGTTTGAAATTGACTGCTTAGTACATATTCTGATGGCTGTCTTTGTGACACCGCAGAAGTATTCTGAGCCAAAAAGAGCCTCTGAGGCTCCTTTTTGGGCTAATAAATCAACCTCTTCATAGCTCTTATGTCTTCTGTGGCCTGCTACCCAGACCAAGTTTAGTCTGCTTTGACTATTCATCTCTGTTCATTGAACCCGACATTATAAAAATGATTTCATCTTTAGATACAGTGATAACAAACATCTTCGTAGCTACCAACCAGTTCGACGACCCCAACGGGAAAAATACCTGCCCGACGATCGCCCAGATATCTATCCCTACGATCAAACGCCCAACAAACTCGAACAAATATTGGGAAGACCGGAAGCGCCCGTGAGGAATACGAGAAAGTCGAAAAGAGGTCACGTTAAAAGCCTGGGCGAAGAGGTGACCGACAGCGGAAGTTTAGACAAGAGCGTCTTTCTGGGGACCATCGATGAATCCAAGGCACATGCAGAGTTCATCATACAAGAGAGGTAAGAAAGTCAAAGCTAATTTTTTGAATTTTGTGTCTCTTACTTATGTTGCATGAGAGACAGAAAACTTACTTCGGGAGATGCCACTGCATCCATCTATTGTAACACAATGTGTCTAAGCAAAATTTTAAAAAATACAATCATTAAAACTACATATTTAATTAAAAGTTATAAATATTCTAAGGCCCGTATTTATAAACAGATCTCAGGTGAGTTCCACTCAACTGAGTTGTTCTTGAACGAAAATTGAAGTTAGGTTATATCGGGTGAATTTAGAGATGGGTAGTAACAAATACAAAAATTCGTAAATGTACTTAATAGTTACGAATTTGCTACATTCCAGTGGAACACCAGAACCACCTGGAACGCTAGAGAAGTTGTAACTTCGATTTTCGTTCAGTGACGACTCGGCCAAGTCCAACTTAGCTGAAATCGGGTTTATAAATATTTTTGTATTTTAGGTTGTTATTACACTTAAGATTTCAGTTCCAACAAGCTGTATATTTTATATTATAATAAACTTTTTTTCGTTTTATTTTATTTTAAAAAGTATTAAAAATCATAAATTATTTTAGAATTAGTTATTTTGTCTTAATAACCTAAAAAATTTTTTTTTGTTGTAAATTTTCGTTAGCGGGTCGTAGAAAAAATATGCTGTACAACTCGAGTAGATTGTCCACATCGCACTCAGATGATTGAGCACTCCGCCTACGACGTCGTGCTCAAATTTCGTCTTTGTGCGATATGGCCATCATATCCACTCTTATTGCACAAACTACTATTTTTTAATTTCAAAGCGGTATCGGTTATCTTCGATTTGTCAATCTGAAAAGCGAGATATTTAAATAATAATGCCCATGGTCCTTACAAATAACCTTCCATTCGAATTAAGTACTTTAATTGTTTGTCCACTTATTATTTTCGCTTGTTCAATCTCTATTTTCGTTTGGCAGCCCAAAAAAGAGATTAGTTATTACTTAGTGAGTTACAGTTGGACATATTACATAAACCTAAACTCTAACGTTAAGGCCACAGTACCACCCCCAATATTCGTAACATGAACTAATTTTGATAGATGTCATTTATATGTCATAAATTAAGAATCCTTTTGTTCAACAGATGGAGCAATATTCCATATTTAATAGTTCTTTTGTTCAACAGATGGCGTAATAATTTTATTAATTTTAAACGGTAATTGTTATAAAATAACAAATTCATCACCCCTAGCCACTACGCGATGATACGTAAACGAGTTCTTGACCTTGCAAATATTTTCGATGTAGCAGGTATAAAAATAATATTTTGGATTACATTCGGAATATCGGTATATTTACTTAGTAGTTCATTCTTGTGTCCAGTCAACAAAGGATAAAGGTCTTCGTATCATTACGTAGGGACCTATTATACCATACATGGTGTTTCGTTAAGAATGGGACATAGAACAACTGACGATTCTCTGAATAAAATAAGACAACTAAACAAATCATGTTTAGATAAAATGTTTCTCGTTTCCGAATTACGGTGTTAAAATCCAAAAAATATTTTTGGCTATATTTTTTTATTACTCACAAGAATTTTACTAAATTTGGCAAACGGTTTTGATGTTATAATATCCACCTATCAGCAAAAAATTAGTTACCTGCTTTAATTAACTTTTCCAGAGGCGTACAGCATTGGTACGTAATACGGCATCCCTTCTAAATTTTACGTCACTATCCAAAAAGTTATTTAGACATAAAATTTTAAATTTTTTGATGTTTTTCAAATAAATAATGTACTCTTTTTAGAAATTTAATAAAAAAAAATCAAAATTTTGGACAGTGGACTAAAATTTAGAAGGGAAAAAGGTGTTACTTGCCCATGAAGTATGCCACTGGCAAAGCTTATTTAACTTATTTTTTTTGCTGATAGGTGTATTTTATTACACCAATAACGTTTGCTGAATTTAGTAAAATTAAACTGAATAACAAAAAAAATTGTAGCTGTTTATAATTTTTGATTTTCGAGTAATGTTTTACCTACGGATGTTTCGTTTAATCGGCTTATTTCTCATCAGTTAATCTTCAGTTGCTTCCATTCTTAATGGAATACCCTGTATATACCGAAAGGTCTTGCAGCCAATGAATCAAATAAAAAAAAAAGAAAAATATAATAAAAAAGTGTTTTTATTACCGTATTTACCCACAATACTTTATATAGATCTGCATCAGTAAAAATTATTTTCAACAAATTTAATCTCATTTATATGTAGTATGTTTGTGTAACTTGGCGGCATACGGAAAACTTTTTTAAGAATTTTAAGAAAAAAGCTTATTTTTCATAAACAATTGAATGGTCTATTAATTTTAGAAAAAAAGTTACTTTACATAAAAAGTTATGCATGGTCTAAAACCTAAAATTCAAACATCTGATATCAAATTTTATCAGTCGTATATAGGGTTTGTCGAAAATAAATTTTTTGACAAACCTTGTAAAACCGACTGATAAAATTTGATATCGGGTGGTTGCATTTTCTGTTAGACCATGCATACATTTTTATAAAGAATAACTTTTACATAAAATGAATAATAAAAAAAGTTTTCTATATGCTGTCAACTTACATAGACGTACTGCGTGTATGCAACTTATGACATATTGCTGAGATAATGTTTTTGTAAGAAAAGAGAAATTAATTATAAAAATTTACTTCATTTGTAGAGTCGTAATTTATGTTTTCATATTAAGTTTTTATCATAATTTTTTTTATCAATTTAGAATTACAGTACTATTTTCAATTATTAATAAAAATTACGTGTTCATTTTAGATTAATCAATAAGAAAAATAAGCATTTTTGAAATATTAATAACCAAATACACATTAAACAACAAATAAATAAAAAAGCATTTAAAACACGTTGTCTGCCGAAGCAAATGTTGTGGTCGGGTCTGCTGAGCCGAAGTAGTTTTTCTAAAAATTTAAGTCTGTTTTTACGTTTTAAGTAGTTTAAGTAAATACTTAGGTAAACTACAATATCTAATAGATGCGCGAATAAAATACATACACGCGGCGCGGGATTAAATTATTACAAACATATGTGGCGTGCATATATTGTTAATAATATATTCAGGACATACACAGGCCCGCCGAGAGCCAGGCCGGGCCCCAGGACAATTCGCTAGATCGGGCCATGTGACAAAAAAATCTTTAACCAAAAACTGTTCCTCTTCTACTGAAATAGAATTTAAAAGGTCTTTACATCAAAAACTATTCTCCCTTTCAATTACTTCTTCTTCTAAACAAAAAAAAAGTCCTCACCCGAATAAAACTTCTCTAGGCTAAAACTTTTAATTAATTTAAACTTAACTTCCCTCTCTCATCTTGTGTCGAATTTCTCATGCAGAACAAAAAAAAACTTTGCCGGGCCCCCTTACAGCGCTGCCGGGCCCCCATTTAAGCCCGGGCCCCGGGAATTAGTCCCGGCTACCCCCCCCCCCCCTCTAGTCGGCCCTGGACATACATTAGTGCGTAATTGTTCAATATTTCAATTTGTGTTATGGACACGTAAATAATTTCTAAATAAAAAGTTATATGAATTTCAAAAATGGGTATTTTAAAGATATTATTAGACATACAGTGTTTTGCGTTTTTGTCTGACAAATAAAAAGGTATATTTTTTAAATAAAAAACCCTGTATTTTACTTCAGTTTTAGAATGCTGCATGCAATGCTGTAATACTGCATTTAACCCTAGAACTTTATTAACAAATATTGCAGGGTTGCCAATAAATTAATTTTTTTATGAAATTAGAGAATGATGCAGACCCTAAATTAAATTATAATTTAATTTAAAAAAATAGTAATAAGATACTAAGCTAACGAATAGTGGTGATAGAACTGGATTATTTTATACAGAGTGTTTTGAAAAACAAGTCTTAAATATGGCTAATTCCAAATTAAATTTATTTAATTTTTTCAAATGCCACACGCTGTATGTTATTTAAACATACAATTCCTTATAAATTTACATATCCAACGATACCAATATGATAGTCAATAACACATGAGTTTTATAATAGGAAATACGAAAAAAAAAAATAATATAAAAGTTGTATGACCATATTTAACAATTATTCATAAATATGCAGTGTGCATTTTTAAAGCAAAACACCCTGCAGGTTGTTATACATATTTGATTGTTTTTACATCGTCGAACAATATTTTCAATTTGATTCATTTGATATGTTGTATATAGAATGTGTCAAAATTTGAGGTTACGATTTTCTCAATTTTTTAAATGTGATACTCTCTATGTTATACCACCAATTAATTAATACAGTGAATTCCATTTAAACAATTAAAAAAATCGTAACCTCGCGCTTTGATACACCCTACATATAACATAGCAAATGAATGAAATTAAAATTATTTGACAACCTGAAAACAATCAAATATGTATAACTACCTGCAGGGTGTTATTCTCTAACATGTTGGTATTGTTGAACAGGCAAATTTATAAGGAATTGTATGCTAAAATATGTTGCCTTTGAAAAAATTAAGTAAATTAATCCTCAAAGTAGCCATATATAAGACAAGTTTCAAAACACTCGGTATAAAAGAATCCAGCACTATCAACACTATTTGTTATCTTAATGTGCTACAAGTCTGTATATTAAACAATTTTGAAATTAATGTAATTCTACCCAAATTATGATAATTTAATTTGGGGTCTGCATATCATTCTCTAATTTCATAAAAATTTAATTGCTTGGCAAACCTGTAATAGATTTTTTAAACATTCTAGGCTTGAATACAGTATTACCAAATCATTCTAAAACTGAAATAAAATACATGTTGTTCTATTTAAAAAATATGCCAGGCAAAAATATAACACCCTGTATATCCAAAAATATTTTTAAAATATGTATTTTCTAAATCCATATAACTTTTCTTTGAAACATGTTTGCGTGTCTTTAACACACTTTAAAATATTGAACAATTACGCACTAATGGGACATACACAAGGGTACATATACACATAGCAGTCAACGTGTTAACTCAGAAATAAAGTTCCTTATAAAGATAAAATAACATTCATTAGAAGAAAGCAAGTCCCGCAAATATTACGTGTGTACCATACAGTGATGCCAGATCATTCGGATTCAAATTACATCTCAATGCAATAAAGTTCCTCTCCCGCATTTCACATTTCACCCACTTTAAAATTAAATTCGCCTGAGAAAAAATTGTGAAATTATCGTATAAATCGATATTTATTGTACATCTGGCAACGTGGCCAATACTTGTTCATACGCAAGGAACACAAATCGATAATTTTGTATCTGGAACGCAAAACGAGACAAATATATATGAAAATCACGAAACAATAAAAGACGGCATACAGCTGTATCATTGTTTCAAAAATTGGTACCTCTAAACAATCATTTACCTATTAAAACCATCTCTAAAACAGAGTAGCTAGATTTTTTTACGGTGACATCTTCTTAAAAATCTGATGTGTCCAACACATGACTTTCCTATCTAGTTATTATAGGCATTTTCCGGTTATTTTGTACAACCTATTGCAGCATCTCTATAAATGTTTAGAGGATAAACTAAATATATACATTTTACCTCGAAACATTTTTCTATAGATATTCATTGAAAACGAAAATACAGAAAAATTTAAATTTAGCACTTTTCCATTACGGACCATTTTAGAAAAATCATGTATAAACAAAAATTATAGAAATCGATATCGCAAACAACTTTTAGTTCAACAATTTTCATAAAAATCAGAATTTTGCACATTTTGTCAAATTTCTCGAATACGGACCATTTCAGGAAATTTTGACATAAAACAAAAATTATAGATAATAATATTAGAAGTAACTTTTATTTGAACAATTTTCTTCTCCAAACATAAATAACAGATATATTCCATAAAATATAAAAACGGCCTCCCATAAAGTACCCCCCCAGATGTTCCAACTTTGTCCAAAATCTAATCATTTCACGTCAGGCCGAAATAAACCTTAAGTTTAAAATTTAATGTTTTTTCCTTTATCCGTTTTTGAGTTTTCTTCAAATTTCGAAATTTACACATTTTCTCAAATATCTCGAATACGGTCCATTTTAGAGAAATTATGTATAGGACAAAAATTATAGAGAATTATATTATAAACAACTTTTATTTGAACAATTTTTATAAAAAATTATGTTTTTTACATTTTGTCAAATTTCTCGAATACGGACCATTTTAGGAAAATTTTGCATAAAACAAAAATTATAGATAATTATATTAGAAGTAACTTTTATTTGAAGAATTTTCTTCTCCAAACGTAAATAACAGATATATTCCATAAAATATAAAAATGACCACCTATAAAGTACCCCCCCAGATGTTCCGACACTGCCCAAAATCTAATCAGCTCATTGGACGCTGAAACAAAGCTTAAGTTTAAAATTTGGTGTTTTTCTGTGTATCGGTTCATGAGTTATGCGTTATACAGACACACACACACACACACAGACACACACACACACACAGACATCATCGCGAAAATAGTCAAAACGGATTCAGGGGACCTCAAAACGTAAAAATCCGTCGAAAACTCGAGGTCGAAAAAAATCATGATTCCTATACTTTCCTTATATCTGTATACAGATAGGAAAGTAAAAATAGATGAACTACATGAACTATACACAATTACAGGAATTCATAGAAAATCTCTAATTTGACAAATAAATTTATTAAATATTTGTTAATCGTATTTCCAGTTAGATTTGAAAAATACGCAATAAAATTTAGAAATATTTTGGCGGGATACTTGGAAAAATATGTAGAATGAAATCTCCTACTTTTTAGCCTGTGGTTTTAAAATCACTTTTTATGATTTTTTTTAAAATTCAGTGTATAAACAGGACAAATAAAAAATAGGAGATTTCATTCTCCAAACCTTATACTTTAAGCTGGTAGAAGATTCATTTTAATACATTTAGCGGGATTTAAATGCAATCGGAAATGGTGAACCCTTGCTTCTTATATGAAAAATACAGTGATACTGCGCCATTAACAATGAAATTTCACGTTTATGTTCTTGTAAAATATCAGTTTTTAACTATTTATCCGTACATATGACCTCAAAAATAAAGAACCCAATTTTTTTAAATTTTATCCGAATTAAATATTCGCTTGGATAATAAAGGATCAGCAATTTCTAACAGTTCATGGAATATTTTTGGTTTTAAGAAAAATTGTTATTTATATAATTTGCTTGTCTTTTTTTCCTGGGCTCGTCTGACTTAGTATCCGATAACACTGAAGCCTAATGGCCTATTGTATTTGACCCATATTGTCTGCTTGTCTTTAAGTACTTGTGTTAAGAATTGTTTATATTTTGTGTTCTCTATTTGTTAATAACTAAATTTTTGTGTGGACAAACGATTTCAGTAGTTAGTTTTAACAAAATTCAGATAGAAGTCTTATGTTAATAATATTGTTCATATTTAGGGCTCTTTATTTTGTTAATAACTAATTTCTTTTGGATGAATTAAGAAAAATATGGCCCGGACAAACGAAAATAACGTGTGGACAAACGATTGGCGTATTTAATAAAATGTAATAAGTCTCTTTGTGTACTTTATTATTATTTTAATATCTCGATTTTGGAGGGTGAAGAAACAATATTTTTGATAAAAATTTGCTTTTGACGGTGCTAACTTCACGGTCTTGCTTCAGATTGAATTTTAGAAAGTTTTACAATGTTGGATACATTAATATAATTTAAAAAATATTTCCTCATACATAACGAACCAACAACAACGCAAAAGTATAGGTTATTCTAACAAACAACGGCAGCATAATGGTCGGAAATGAAGAAAATGGTCTATTTTTAAATTGGTGACATTCTTTTTTGGTCATCATACACTTTTGTACATATATTTCAAAAACACCCTCAGCGTTCTACATATCGTTTACTAATCTTAAAATATCTATTATAGGAATTCAGCTGAGATCGGCAGCATAATGGTCGGAAATGAAGAAAATGGTCTATTTTTAAATTGGTGACATTCTTTTTTGGTCATCATACACTTTTGTACATATATTTCAAAAACACCCTCAGCGTTGTACATATCGTTTACTAATCTTAAAATATCTATTATAGGAATTCAGCTGAGATCGGGACCAAACAGAGCCTAACCCCGAAACGGCAACGTCAACATCTCCCTCAACTCGACCTGCGAAGAAGAAACAGCGATCCCGCTACCAAAGCCGTCATTTCCGAACATCCTTCCGGTCTAGACGCCAGTCCTTCGATAAAAACCAACGATTACAAATATGACGTGAACGCCCTTTCGATAGCGGGACATTCTTTTAGAAAAATCCCAAGAATATCGAAGGATGATCTCTGTATGTTCTGTAATACCGAACTGGATGCTTTCTATACGCCGGGATACAAGTGTACGAATTGTAAAAAGCAGTTCCATACGAAGTGTATACAGAATAAGGTGAGTTAATAACTTTCTTATATACAGGATGGCTACTTTTTATATTGAACAGTATTGCTATCTCAAAAACCGTAAGAGTTACAAAGTCGGTTAAATGGGAAAAAAGTTGTACTATTGCAAGACTATTTTAGTGATGTTTTAAAACCGAGAATATCAGGATCGTTTTCCAAGATATTTAAGGAAAACCAAATGACTCTATTTTCGATTGTATTGCCTTTATTTTACAAATTATAAAAAAAATTTAATTAGATTTTTACTTTCCTATCTGTATACAGATATAAGGAAAGTATAGGAATCATGATTTTTTTCGACCTCGAGTTTTCGACGGATTTTTACGTTTTGAGGTCCCCTGAATCCGTTTTGACTATTTTCGCGATGATGTCTGTGTGTGTGTCTGTGTGTGTGTGTGTGTGTGTGTGTGTGTGTGTGTGTGTGTGTGTGTGTGTGTGTGTGTGTGTGTGTGTGTGTGTGTGTGTGTGTGTGTGTGTGTGTGTGTGTGTGTGTGTGTGTGTCTGTATAACGCATAACTCATGAACCGATACACAGAAAAACACCAAATTTTAAACTTAAGCTTTGTTTCAGCGTCCAATGAGCTGATTAGATTTTGGGCAGAGTCGGAACATCTGGGGGGGTACTTTATAGGTGGTCATTTTTATATTTTATGGAATATATCTGTTATTTACGTTTGGAGAAGAAAATTCTTCAAATAAAAGTTACTTCTAATATAATTATCTATAATTTTTGTTTCATGCAAAATTTTCTTAAAATGGTCCGTATTCGAGAAATTTGACAAAATGTAAAAAAAAATATTTTTTTTAAAAATTGTTCAAATAAAAGTTGTTTGTAATATAATTCTCTATAATTTTTGTCCTATACATAATTTCTCTAAAATGGACCGTATTCGAGATATTTGAGAAAATGTGTAAATTTCGAAATTTGAAGAAAACTCAAAAACGGATAAAGGAAAAAACATTAAATTTTAAACTTAAGTTTTATTTTAGCCTAACGTGAAATGATTAGATTTTGGACAAAGTCGAAATATCTGGGGGGGTACTTTATGGGAGGCCGTTTTTATATTTTATGGAATATATCTGTTATTTATGTTTGGAGAAGAAAATTGTTCAAATAAAAGTTACTTCTAATATTTTTATCTATAATTTTTGCTTTATGTCAAAATTTTCTGAAATGGTCCGTATTCGAGAAATTTGACAAAATGTGCAAAATTCTGATTTTTATGAAAATTGTTGAACTAAAAGTTGTTTGCGATATCGATTTCTATAATTTTTGTTTATACATGATTTTTCTAAAATGGACCGTAATGGAAAAGTGCTAAATTTAAATTTTTCTGTATTTTCGTTTTCAATGAATATCTATAAAAAAATGTTTCGAGGTAGATGTATGTGTAAAATGTATATATTTAGTTTATCCTCTAAACATTTATAGAGATGCTGCAATAGGTTGTACAAAATAACCGGAAAATGCCTATAATAACTAGATAGGAAAGTCATGTGTTGGCCACATCAGATTTTTTATTTGGTATTAAGTAGTGCTTAATTTACCATAGACAGATTTTTTATATAACGTTTCATTTCTGGAGGGCCACCATCAAGTATATTTTTTGAATACGGACCTGCATTTTTTATTCTATTTTATAAAAGTACATTTTTAATCATAAATTCAACCATGTAATACACATTAGTAGTTTATGACGTTTTAATACTTTTTATTATTGCTATTGCAAGGTCACTATAAATTTTATTGTATTAAGGACGGGGTATCCCTGTGTATTAAAAGTGTATGTGTAGACCAAAAGTTAAATCGACAGTTTTCCGAATATGTAGTGTTTAAAAATCTAATTTTTGGCCAAATTAAAAATGAAGGTCTAACTTAGGTCACCTTACTATTGAAAATTAATAAATTTATTATTTTCAATAAAAACCAATCATATAAAATAACCCCCTTTTATTTCATCTCAAAGGTGCCGTGTAGAATTATTTTAACCTCGATGTCAAACAAATAATAAAAAAAAAAATGTAATACGACCTAAGTTCAACCTTTACTTGGAATTTGGTACACTCAGAATATTTAAATATTGTATATTTTTCAAAACGTGTAGATTTAAAATTTATAAGTCACTTTCTTTGAAAAAACATGTCAAAACGGATTTGGACCAAAAATGGCGTCTAATTTAACTCTAAATAAACCCCGAAAAATCAATAATTACTTCATGTAATGTAATAAAGATGGTGCTCCGATCGATAATATTTTGACTAGTGTTTGATTATTTCCGTTTATATTATGTGTGTTTACGGGGGATATACGAGATGATAATACTGCCTCTGATACTGTTTATGTGATACAATTGGAAACGACCTTTTTTCATCGGCACTCTTTTTTCGCCGGTGACCTTTTGACACGCGCCTATTTGTTATATGATGTATGATTATCGGTTATTTATCAACTAAAAGAATAGGAAATTAGTATATTGTGAATGATAATATCATTGTAATGCTATTTTTGAAACTAGTTCAAAAGTTGCATTTAACGATACTCAATGTTTCATTTTACCGTCAGTTTTAGTTTGACATATCCGTCATTTTATGTTTACAAAGCTCAGTTTCTATTCGAAAGTAAGAGAAACAGTCAAAATAAAATGCGAAAAACACTTTTTATCAATTTCGTTTATGTCAACTGAAAGCGACAATTGCTGAAGACGTAACAAATAAATTAGGTCGAGAAATAAAAAAATCTATACTATAAGTAACATACCATATATTATACCTGTTAAAATAAATCAAAAATAAGAGAACATATCGTTGACGTATATACTTTTCCATCTGTGATTAGTGATTACCAATTGCAAATTACGTATGAACATGCTTCTGCGCAAAAAACCATTATTTCAAGTACTTGTATCATTAAAGTCCATTAAATTATTATTTTTATAAATTTGCTAATATTTGCACTTTAAGTTTCATTATATGGGGTATCCCGACATTTTAATCCTCGTCCTCTTCTATTTAAAATTATCTCAGGTGCCATATATTCCGAGTAAAATTTTTCTAATTTTTCAACCATATTTTGAAAAAAAAAATGGGTTGAAAATGAATTTTTTCAACAAATAGTGAATTTTCATCTCCAGTATATACTACAAAGTAGCACAATTTTCTTTGAGCTATACCTAGCTGTCCTTGAATCTAAAAGTATATAAAATCATTATTAGAAAATCAAACATAAGAAGAATATTAATATTGTAGTATCATTTCTAGCACATTTCTTAAAAATCATGAATTATTTTAACATATTGAAATTTTTCACCTGGTAAAAGTAGTTATGGTTTTCTTTTAAATGAATGTCACCATCTTCTATTTTTAAGCATGGAAATGGGTTTGAATATTAGGTAATGTGCGCCAATAATGTCAAATTAACTTTTTATTTAGATTTTAATGTGCAAAAGCCTACCTACTTTGGATATTGATCGTAGAAAAAATATATTCAGAATAATGAAACATTATTATTAAATAACAAGTTTTTTTATTGTCAAATTTAATACGTAATATTATTTTTTAATTGCAAATATTTGAATGTTAAAATTATAGCGTTTAATTTTTTTATTCAATGACGAACTCGAGAGTGATGGAAAAAAAATACTACCTACCTTTAATGCAGGAAGTCGATGTCAATTTATCCAAAAATAAAACTGATTAAAATGTACAATGAAACTCACTAGGACACTTGGCACAAATAAATCAATTTTCTAGAAAATAACACTTATTAAAAACAAACAGCACAATAAAACACTTCAGAAACGTGTGATGTAATTTTGAAAACTAAACACCCGTATGCTTGTTTGTAAATTTATAGACTCTTAACTCCTTCCCCCAGCCTTCATTAAGTATATTAAAAGTCGTGACGTCATATTGGCACAGATATACGGTAATGTGTTATTGACAATCAGGGAAATGTTTCTAGGAAATAACTACCTAAGATAAGATAAATGAATGTTAAATACCTACTCATAATATCTATTGTAGGGTTTTTGTACTTTAATAGGATAAATATTTATGCGGGCCTGGAAATTCCAGGAAATGACAGTCAAAATTACCCAAAAACATTAGGTTAATACCAACATCAGATAACAGATAACCAATTAATCACAATTAATATTCTTGAACATTCAAATGACAAAAACTTCCATCTTTAACCAATGAGAATATAGTTTTCATTCGATACTTCAAAATCATAATTTATTAATTAGGTAGAATAGTTTTAAAATATATTGCGAATTGCGACACGTCAAGCGTCCCACTCCGACTCAATGTGACGCAATTATTGTGGCAATATATTTTGAAACGACTCTATATTCGTGACTTGAAATTATAAACATCCCTCGTATTACTACCCGTATATAAACCAAATTATTTGTTTTAGGAAATATTTATATTTAATGTGAGGCAAGATATCGTTTTGGTTGTTACCATCTGCATACATACCTACCTACATTCTTTACTTTGGTCCAGGAAACAAAGTCAATTTTCGATAAAAATAAAATGTAATAGGTAGGTAATACTTTATGAAACAGTACAATAAAAGTATTGAAATAAAGTATGCTCATACTCCAAAATTAGTCCTAGAGTTAACATTTTTGTAATATTATAAATGGCATATAAAACGATTGGACCGTTTTCACAATCGCGAAATAATTTTTTTTTATTTAGTAAAATCCCGGCAATTATTGAAAAATAGATTTTATGTTCAGGACTATTATTATGATCCTTCGAACTCAGTCTACTAAAAACCGGTTTATAATACAATATCCCCTAATAGCTAGTCGGTCGATATTTATAGTTACTTAAAGATTTCTGTAATAATTTGCACTAATTCAATCTCTAGTCGGTAGGTAACAGCACCTCCTTGATTGAATCTAAATTGACATAATTTTGTTCAGAAATTCCTAGGAGACGCTGTCCTTAAACCTTTATTTTTTATTATTCTTTTTT